GGCGGCGGCGGCGGCCGAGGAGAAGGAGGAGGAGGCAGGCGGGAGCCAGCCGCCGGCCGCGCCGCCGCCCCACAAGAGGATGAAGAAGCGGAAGGAGCTGAACGCCCTCATCGGCCTGGCCGCCGACGGCCGCAGGAAGAAGCCGGCTAAGAAGGGCTCGGGCCACCGGCTGCTGCGCACCGAGCCGCCCGCCTCCGACTCCGAGTCGAGCTCTGAAGAGGACGAGTTCGCAGGGGCGCGGGGCCGCTGCGGAAAGTGAGTCCCGGGCTCGTTGTGYGGGGTAATGGGGGCTGTGTGAAGCTGGGGACTGCCGGGGCATACCCGGAGCTGCGCTGAGTGTGTCCGACCCGCATGTCGCCTGTTTGGGGATAGARGTATCACTGAGTCACAGAATGGTTTGGGTTGTGGAGGAGACCTTAAAGATCATCTAATTCCAACCCTAGCCATGACCAGGGACAGCTCCCGCTGGACCACCCTGTGGCTTTTTTCTTGGTTTTATCCGGTTTTTGCTCACCGCAGCACGGTCCCTTGTGCTGTAWGGACTAAACTCGGGGGCAGCTTTTGGGGATGCTGAGCGCAGTTTCCCGTGTGTGTGTGTGTGCGCTCAGCGCGGCACAGTCCTGCGAGCTGGCGCAGTGCTGCCTTTCTCGGGGACGTGCCGTGATTTTGCCAGTAAATAAGCTTTTCAGTTAAGTAACAGCATTAATAATGGGCCTCTGTGCATACCTGAAAGCAGGCATGTCCCAGGGAAACTTGGGCTTTCACAATTTAGAACGCTCTAGAAGTRCTTGTCGCAACATTATGGTAATACCCTGTCTCGGAGCGTGTTTTATAAGCTATCAAGCAGATGTGCCTGACATAAGTTTATGTGAGCAGAGCAGGATATTTTAGTCAGGGAAACCTGACAGCTGCTTTTAAATGTGCTAGATGTGCCTCCTCAAGGCAAACTGAATAGGGAGTAACAGCCCTGACCTGACTTTATAGCCTTACTTATTCCTGAAAATGCTCTTTGTTAGCYCTTGTCAGCCAAAATATGTGCTGTTACAATGCTGTCCCTTGCTTTGCTAGAACAGCATTTAAAATACAACTTTTCTGGGCACTGCTGTAAATTCACAGTCTGTTACTTTGTTTTCTGCAGGGGAGACTACCTGCGATGCTGCAGGTTCTGTTACCCTTTATGTGCATTTGTCATTCTTGCTGCTTGTGTGGTCGCGTGTGTTGGCTTAGTCTGGATGCAGGTGGCTCTCAAGGAGGATTTGGATGCAATAAAGGAGAAGTTTCGAACTAGTAAGTATAAATATAACTACTATTTCACATTTTCTTTGGGGACTGTGAAGAGCTTTAGTTGCTTGCCTGCTCAAAGTCTGAAGGTACTGAGTAGACAAATTAACTCTGAATTGACGAGTGCTCTGGGCCAAGAACAGAGAGACTTGGCAAATCTAAGGTGCACATAATATATATAAATTTTTGCCTGCTTTGTATCTTCTGAAGAGCAGGGACACTGGTCTGGGTGGGAAGGTGTTGTTTTGCTTGTGGTAAAAGAGGCATTGAGGAAGTGTGTGTAGAAATTCGCTGCTGTTTAGGTCTCCGTGTTCAGACGTGTGAGGTGGGGAGTTGCCTGCCAAGGTGGAACAGGCTGGTTGGGTGTGAGAGAGAGAACTGCTGATAAATGTGCTTTTGGTACTGAAATCCAAAAGTTAGCTGTTGCTGTTGTCCACCAGTTACRCAGGATACCTTTGGTTCTAGATGCTGCTTTGTGGCTGTGAGTGTTCYCAATAGCTCTGCAGTGTTTCTGTGTTCTGGGTTAGCAACTCTTTCAGGACTGCTCCCCATTAACGGTGTRCTGGTTGTAAATGTTTTGCACCAGGATAGCATTTGTTGGCTTTGGTATAGTCAAGTTTCATCATTCCTGTTAACACAGACCTCTTTGTTAAAGCAGCTGTTCTCCCTGAGCGTGTTCTCTCTGTCTGGCAATTACAGATGGGCTTGTTTTCTTCTTAATAGCTCTGATAGAAAAGCTGTGCATTTAATGCTTTGTCTGGTGATRAACGTGTCAGATTTCCTTGCCACCATAATAGCATGCCTAGGAGTTGGATGGGAGCGTCATAATGAGGCACAGCATTTAAATACAACAATAAAAAAAAGCAGGCAGCAAGAACAACCTGGTTCCGAAAGGTAACATTTTGCTTTGGTGAAATGTGTGGGTGAGCAGAGAAACAAAGACAGGTGATCCATCTGTCCTACAGCGAGTTTGGAAAAGCAACCTGTCTCTGACTCTTCATCCAGACTTTTTTCCTCATAAGAGCAGATGCTTGTGGCAGTATTTACGATGTTCTGCCATCTTTTGCACAAAGTGAGTATGGTCTGAGTACTTRAGRCATCTTTGCATCAAGTATGCTTGGRATAGGMGGAAGCATTGTAATATTCTCCCTTCAGTTGTCAGCAATGATGCTGACATGGAGGAGCACACATGGCATTTAACTTTACTAGTGCTGCAAAAAACTCTTCAACCTAGTCTCACCGTACACAGTGAAGGTGGCAAAACAGAAAAYAMTTTGKCTRCAAGAGCCTATGAMMACATAAGATTCASTGTGAACTGCYTGTGTCAAATSCACAATTAGCTCTCARTYTGTTTTGGCTAAAATACARTYTWMWAGRTCTTACCCAAAAGTGTTGTTTGGAYCTTGGGTGATCCAGTGCASATTAYTTTGCACCTAGAAAGTACTTTTAGARCTTGCTTCAAGAGGCGTGAGGTGGRTTTTTGAAGATGTGCAGCTTTCYAGTTTYRTGTATTYGCGCTTCCAYTCCACAGGCTTCTCCTTTTGRCTGSATGGGTCATACATGGRAATTTGTTCTGGGGTGTGCCAGCTGCACATCACACAGGTCCCACTGCTCTTGGCAGTGTGATGTGAAGGATGGCTGTTTGCTGTAGAGCATTCCAGTGCTGCCTTACAAGGTGGGGGTGCAGATTTTGGAGAACTCTGTCATCTTCATTTCAAAACCTTTGCTTATTTGTTTCTCAGACCCTGGGATGTAGGATTGCCTCACAGCACAGCTAAACAGCTTAGTCACTGCAGATCTGGAAGAGCTGCATTTCTGAGGCTCRCTGGAATTGCTTTCAGCTGTATGTTTCCCCCATAGTATTAATTGAAGTAATAACTGGCTTTATTTCCAAGGTTCTTGTTTACTGATTTGTTTACCAACAGGCGTTAGTGCATAAACATATACATTATTTTTTTCAGTTGTCTTTCTGTCACACAGAGCAACTAATTGCATTAATCTCCTTGGAATTCACTTCATTGTCAGCAGCCCCTTTGGAGGCTTGAAAAGGGCAGTGAGGTTCATTTCACCTTCCTCCTTTGCCCTGGGACTGTTGGCAATTCTTATTCACAGGCCCATTACTATTTCATGTTCCCCTGTGGAGGTAATGCAAAATAACTGCACTAAATAAAGACCTGCTGAGGTTTGCCAGAATGACAGGACTATGCAAAGTGTTAAATTTAGTACAGTCTCTCTGGGTTCTTTCAGCAGATAKTGGTACTCCTAAAACAAAAAAGAGCTGTCATTCTGAGCAAACACTGAATCCAGAACTGGCAATAAACCTGTATGTAGAAACTGTTACTGCCTTTCAGTGTGTAGATGTTGCTGTTTATAATTTGTTTTTTGCCTTTCAGTGTTGTTTAAATAGATTTTGGTTTTGGTTTTTAAACACATTTAATTTTTTTTTCATTCTTTTAGTGGAATCTAATCAAAAGACATCATTCCAAGAAATTCCTAAACTGAATGAAGATTTGGTGCAGAACCAAAAGCAGCTAGAACAAATTGAGACTGGAGAACTGGGGCTGAGTAAAATTTGGATAAATATCACAGATATCAATAAACAGGTGAGAGATCAGTCCTAGGTTTTGGAAAATAATAAAATATTCCATTCAGATTTTTTAAAATGGAAATAAATTTTATCTAAGGACTTCTCTGACCATGTG